GGGGACATGGGGTGTGGGACACATGTGGGACACGGGGTGTGGGACACGCGTGGGACACGGGGTGGGGGACACGTGTGACACGGGGTGGGGGACATGGGGTGTGGGACACGTGTGGGACATGGGGTGTGGGACATGTGTGTGACACAGGGTGAGGGACGTGTGTGACAAGGTGGGGTACACAGAAAGGGGGACGCGTGGGACACAGGGCGTGGGGCATGTGTGTGTGACACGGGTTGGAGGACACGGGAGGGGGTGCGCCTGTGACACGGCACGTGGGGAACACGGGAGGGGGTGCGCGTGGGGCATGGGGTGTAGGACACGTGTGACACAGAGTGGGGGACACGGGAGGGGCACCCGTGGGACATGGGGTGTGGGACATGTGTATGTCACAGAGTGGGGGACACGCGAGGGGGTACGTGTGGGACACAGGGTGTGGAACACGTGTGTGACAGGGTGGGGGACACGGGAGGGGTACCCGTGGGACATGGGGTGTGGGACATGTGTGTGTCACAGAGTGGGAGACACAGGGTGTGTGAGACATGTGACACAGGGCGTGAGACACACGTGTGACGGGGACATGTGACGCGGGACGTGGGGCATGTGACACAGAGTGTGTGACGCACACATGTCCCAAGATGGGTGACACTCATGCAACACGGGGCATGTGACGCAAGGTGTGTGACAGAGCATGTGCCATGGGGCATGACGCTGGGTGTTCCCCGGATGCGTGGCATGATGTTTGCGTGTCCCCTGGGTGCATGGTGTGACGCTACATGTCCCCCGAGCGCGTGGCGTGATGCTCGCGTGTCCCCCGGGCACATGGCGTGATGTTTGCGTGTCCCCGGGCACGTGACGTGACATTTGCATGTCCCCCGGGCACGTGACATGACGCTGCATGTCCCCTGGGCATGTGGCGTGATGCTTGCGTGTCTCCCGGGCATGTGGCATGACATTTGCATGTCCCCTGGGCACATGGCATGACATTTGCAAGTCCCCGGGATTGTGGTGTGACATTTGCGTGTCCCCTGGCACGTGGCGTGACATTCGCGTGTTCCCCGGGCACATGGCATGACACTCGCCTGTCCCCCGGGCACGTGGCATGACATTTGCGTGTCCCCGGGGCGCGTGGCGCAGACGGGCGCCTGGGGCTGCCTGGAGGAGCTGCCGCGGCTGCCGCCCGCGCTGGTGGCCCTGGTGGCGCAGCTGGCGCTGGCCGTGCTGGGCGCGCTGGGCGCCGGCCGGGAGCAGGTGGCCCTGGAGGGGCCGCCCGTGGCCCTGCGCCCCTCCTGCGGCATCTTCATCACCACCGACCTGGGTACG